CAAAATCAGACTGAATAGTACAATAACCCAATGCTGTCAAGTTGATTCCAACACACAGCAATGCTGTAGGACAGAATAGAACCATCCCATTGGGTTTCCGAGTCTGTAATCTTTCTGGAAACAGATTGCCACATTTTTCTACCATGGAGTGGCTGGTGGGTTTGAACCACCAAACTTTTGGTTGGCAGCAAGCACTTTAACCACAGCACTGCCAGGGCTCCTCAAAGAGCACAACAGAGAAGCTTTAATTTCCACAGTTGAATTATAGAAAAAAAAAAAGAAATACAAGCATGAGTTGTTGTTGTTGTTACGAGCCATCGAGTCAGAACCAACTCATAGCAACCCCTTCTTGGGTTGCCGAGGCAGTAACATTATGGAAATAGATTGCCCAACCTTCCTTCCAAGGAGTGGCTAGTGGGTTTGAACCACCAGCCTTCTGGTTAACAGTCAAGTGCCTTAGGCACTACACTACCAGAGCTCTCACATTTAAATGCCTAGGTGTATTAGAATTTTCTTTTTAAATAACACTTAAAATAAATGAACTACTGGCCATAAAGAAATTATCAAAAAACTTGCAAGGAACCATCTAAGATGGCAACTATTCATCCCTCCTTGTTCAGAGCAAAGAAGAGTGAAGAAAATCAAAGATGCCTGGAAACAGCCCAAAGGACTAATGGACCATGAGAACCTCAGCCTGTATGACCCTGAGACCAGCATAAGTAGATGGTGCCTGGCTACCACTGCCAACCACTAGGAAAGGGATCAAAATTGGAGATTCAAGATAGAATGGGAAGAAGACGTGGAACAAAATTTTAAAAACACAAAAGACCAAGATTACTGGTCAAATAGAGGCTGGTGAAAACCCTGAGACTATGGTTCTGAGTCACCCTTCGGGCCTGGGATTGGAGTCACTCCTGTGGCTAACCTTCAGCCAAATAATAGACAGGGCTATGAGCTGAATAACTATACCAGGGAGATGCATTCCTTAAAACAATCAACCATGGGAGATCAGAAGGGCAGCATTTGCTGGGAGAAAG